AAAAAAAAAAAGTTGTACTGTTTTAAAGAGCAAGTTTGTGTGTCAACAAATTCTAAAACAGTCTGACCAATCATAGTTGAGACTTTTTCTTCATAATCTCTAAAAAGGCTTGGAAGTGAATGGCAGATTCCACCCCCCCCACCCCCCCACACACACACAACAAAACTACAAATACTCAAATGCTGTGGACTAAATATACATTTTAAAGAACTTTTTGAGAGTATAAACAGATTATATGTTTGTCAGTGAATTATAGTTTTCCCTCTCTCATAAATCCAAGCATCAGAATCAATGTTACCATATTTAATTATAGTTCTTCAAAATTTATAACACTTAATTACTCAAGGAGATAATCGCATTGCCTACTGGCAGAGTTTGTTCTGGAACTTATGTTGACAAGTATAACTGACACCCATAGTCTATTAGCAAGAAAGGAAGGGAGTTGGTCACTTAATAAATTGCATATATGTTGAGTCATCTCTCAAACATGGAACTTGCCAGAAGAAGAACCAGATGGGAAAAAGTGAATGAGTCAGTGCAAATTGGTCACTCTATTTGCGAAAAAAAATCTCAAGCTTCATTTTCTACTCATAATATGACTGTATTCATATACCAACTGCATCTTTCTTTATGTAAGCAGGTTACTGCACTCCAAAGATTCCTTCAACCAAGGGGAAAGGTGGGCTTCAAATTCTCTGTAAAGATCCCCTATGTTTGTTAGCTTCTGGTGCAAATCTCCTGGGATCTGTTTATTAATTCACACCAGGGTGGGTCCTAAAAGTGAGAAACTCAGAAAGATATGTACATACTTACACTCTCCTTACCAAAAAAAAAAAGAGAGAGAGCGAAAATAAACAGTAGGGAGGGGATTTTTTTTAATATTTAGAATTTTTGCTTTTCCTTCAGAAGATTTGTAATCAAAATTAATTTATTTTTCCAAATGAACATTGCATAGATTATTTTATCATTGATTGATTAACCTGGCTTCCTTTCTTCTTGCTTTACTTCAATCATAGCATTGCATATATGTTGGTAATGCCACTTATAGAATACAAACCAAGAGCTTATTTTTGTTACCATTTATTTACATCTCACCAGTGTAGCAAAACTTAATGACTCATGCTGACGATCTCTTACTCACTTATCTCATGAATGTTGTACTCACCATGAGGAAATACCCAATAAGCAGGACAGGCATTAAGAGAATAATGAGTAGATAATCAAAGAAGGTAAATCTTTTCTTCACAGCATAATGCAAGCAGGTTCTCTGTTTCTAAAAAATTCATAAAAGGACTCTTTATTAATAAAACACTTCTTCAAAATTCAGGTTTTTAAATTATAATATCAAAACTTTAGTCTGTGGTTTTTATTTTTGTGGTACCCATGGCACCCTTTTCTGAAGAGTACATCTAACAAATAAACCCCATTTTCCATTGACCAGAATATTGAACACAGTACAGTCTAAAGGAAAAGTTGGGCCACAGAAGAAGACAGTAAATAAAATGCACATTTTACAAATTATCAAAAAATAGATTATTACACTCATTTTAGTTTGGGGGGAAAATACATTGAGACAAAAACAAAGGACTGAATTTAATATGAAAGTCTATAGTTACTCCTTAATCTGGGCTTCTCTGGTGGCTCAGCAATAAAGAATTCAACTGCAATGTGGGAGGTGCAGGTTTGAGACTTGGGTTTGATCCCTGAGTTGGGAAGATCCCCTGGAGGAGGGCATGGCAACCCACTCTAGCATTCTTGTCTGGACAATTCCCAAGGACAGAGAAGCCTGGAAGGCCACAGTCCATGGGATCACAAGAGTCAGACATGACTTAGCAACTAAGCTACCACCACCACCCCTCCTTAATCATCAATGGTACACCAGAGCTTTCTGTTTGTTTGTTTTTAAGGACTCCAGTTAGGAGTCCTTACTCCTAACTCCTAGGTTAGGGGAACTTCCTGAAGGCAGTTCACAGACCTAAGAAATGAGAAAGCACCAGTTCAAATTATTAATGTGTAAGAATTAATAATGGGGGGAAATGTAACTGATTAAACCTTTAAAAAATCATTAAAAATATTTTTCAAATTGCAAACCAAATACCACTTCTCATAAAATCTCTACTTAAGTATCCACATGATCTCCATGAGCAGGCTGGCTCGGGTTCTCTGCCAAACAGAGCTAAGCTGCCTCCTCCCAGTATTGACAAACATCTCCATCTCTCAGCCTCCTAACCACCAAGTCTCCTGAGACGGCATGAACCCAGAAACATCTGTCTTGGCCACCCCCTCTCACCACAAGGCCACCCACCTGGTTCCTCAGCTGGGTGCTGGGGCAATCATGTCACACTCCATTAAAGTGCCTATCTGTTAGATGCAGCCCAGCCATGACTTGCTTTTAAACCCAACAACACCAAAAATGGGAAGCACAAACAAAAAAGTCCAGCAGTGACCCATTTTCTGATAATATATTATTACTCCAAATGTGGATTTTGAAGTGACTTGGATGGAGCAAGTGGGGCCTTATGGGCTATTTTCTGTCATTGAATGTACTTGGGTGGGTTCTGGGCATTCACAATTATTACAAAAAGTGACTTTTTATATTTACTCAGTGTCCTTTAAACGTTGGCTTTACTGTGATGCCAATACTGGACATTCCTGTGGGGTTCTGAAAGGATGTTTACAGCATCTCCTGTCTGGTTTCAAGTAGCCTCATATTTGTTCTTTGCAAATTTCTTACTGAAATTCTTTTATTCCATAAGCAAATTATAGAATCTTCTGGAGATCAGAACACTGACATAGTAGACAAAAGTCTAACTAATGAAATAGCAGTACCAGGTCAATACTTGTTTTCCAGGGACTCTTGCCAATTAACTTTTGTAATAGTGAGGAAGATGAGCAGGGAAAGAAGAAGGGCAAAGAGAAGCCTGGGGAGGAGGAGAAGGAGGAAAAGAAAGGAAGATGCTCTTTGCAGACAAATGAGTGAACCATTCCTGTTTCGTTTGTTTTTTTTTCATAAATGCAAGGACAAAATTGCCACAAAACCCACAAAATATGCCTGCTTATGGAACTATACCTGCTCATGGAACTATGCTTTATTTTGCTTTTTAGCCTGATAACATGGCCTCAGTAAGTGTCAGTCTCTCTAAAGTAAGGCCAAAAAATTTTTTTGTTGATATTAAGAACTGCAAACAACAAGCAAATGACGTTCACTGCTTCCACCGGGCCAAGGGGAAAGGCATTACAGTGGTCACAGCCTCACCTGGTTTTTGAGATTCACATCAGCATTTCTTCTCAGAAGAAAGGAAACAATTCTCATGTGCCCCCGCCTGCAAGCGCAGATCAAGGGGGTGTCTCCATTAAAGCCGTCTTGGACATTGATATAGTTGCCATCTTCCTTCACCCACCGCCACACTTGACCCAGGTCATTCTGATAGGCCGCCTGGCAGATGGGCTGAGGAGAAGAAAACAAAAGCAGGTTTTGAAATACAGGAATAATTAAACTACAGCAGAAAAAAAAAAAAATCACCTGATACCTTGAAATTCTGTGTTTTGGAACAGTAGTCCTCTGCTTTGTAGATGAGATCTTGGGTCTCCATTATGTCTAGTCTTAAGGACTAGAACCTCATGATTTCCTAAATTGCTTGGCACACAGGCATGTTCATCCAAGACCAGTGAGTGAAAGGATGAATACAATATTACCAACTCGCTAAGGAAATCATATGTTGGATTCATGGATTAATGTCTGTCACGAAAGCAGGATTTTACTTAAAATGAAATCGGCCTATGGGAGGAGTTCAGGGCAGCCAAGTAATGGGTCAAAGACGTATGACCACCTGCCCCCTTCCCGCACACCCCACCAAGGAACTCTGCACAGTGGGAAGGACCTATTTCAGACTAATAATATACAAATACTGATTTATGTAATTACTTGCAACTAGATGCTTTTTATTTTATAAAGAATTATAAGGAAGTTGGCAACGCATGATGGGAGTTTCTGAGCCTACCTAATCTTGCCTAATTTCCCTGCTCTGCTCTCCCTCTGGGCTTCTCTCTTTTTTTCAATTTGTTGTTGCTTAGTCGCTAAGTCATGTCAGACTCTTTTGCAACCCCATGGACTGTAACCTGCCAGGCTCCTCTGTCCATGAGATTTCCCAGGCAAGAATACTGGAGTGGATTGCTATTTCCTTCACCAGAGGATTTTCCCAGGGATCAAACCCATGTCTCCTACGTTGGCAAGTGGATTCTTTATCACTGGGTTACCAGGGAAGCCGATGTTTAATTCCCCCATCAGGGCCTCTGCCCTTACTACCCGCTCTAGAAAACAAACAAGCTAAACAAATCAAAACACTTTTCACCTCTCTCCTCATCTGGCTAACTTCTAGCTTATCCTTCATGTCATAACTTATTTTCCTATTATCTAAGTCTTTCCTGGCTACAGCATTCCTTTACAGCAACTGACATAATTATACCTCTTTTCTTATTTATAATTGTGTGTTTCACACCAGTGTGAATCAGGAGGTGTTGAGGCCACAGTGAGTGAGGGGAAACACTGAAGCTCAGGCTAGAAATTCCACATGAATAGAGATTACTTAATTTCATTCACCACCGCTGCCCCAGAAAAGATTGCTGAATTTGATCATTAATGACCATTCAGAGATCAGTTTCATGCAGTGTTGGTCAGCACTGGGAACAGAGTAGAAAAACATTAAATATTTTCAGATTGATTTTAATTAGACAGTATTAAAAAGCACTTAAAATACGTAGCACATGAGTCATACTTAGTTTATGGAAGTTATTATTATTGCTTATGAGTTTCCCAGGTGGCAAGTGGTAAAGAATCCACGTGTCAATGCAGGAGATATAAGAGACACAGGTTCGATCCCTGGGTCAAGAAGGTCCCCTGGAGGAGGAAATGGCAACCCACTCCAGTATTCTTACCTGGAGAATCCCATAGATAGAGGAGCCTGGTGGACAGCAGTCCATGCAGTTGCAGAGAGTTGGACATAATTTAGTGACTAAAACAAGTATTAATTAAATTAATTAGCAGTATCTGCCAACAGGTAAAGAAATAGTGGTCAGAGTGGTTGCAAGAGAAGACAGAAGAAGATATGGCCCAAATGCAAAGGAGGCAAAGCTTTTTTTAATTATAAAATTAAATTTTTATGTCTAACTGATGGTAAAGAGCCTGCCCTCAATGCAGGAAGTGTGAGTTGCATCCCTGGGTCTGGAAGATCCCCTGGAGAAGGAAATGGCAACCCACTCCAGTATTCTTGCCTGGAAAATCCCATGGACGGAGGAGCCTGGCGGCTACATACAGTCAACAGGATCTCAAAGAGTCGGACACAACTGAGCGACTACACTTTCACTCTCAACTTTTATTTAGACATCACACAGAAGTGATTTGTTGGATGACTTGTACAAGCAGATGAGAAAATTCTATGCTGTTCTACATTCTATCTCCACTAGGGGGCAGCTCGGAGTCATAAAAGCACTGACAACAGATGCCAGTCTGTAATCAGAAGGAAAAAACAGTCTGTCATATTAGCTAGATTTAGCTGTTTGGAAAAACCCATTTCATTTTTAAAAAATTTAACCATAGACCTGTGAAACTTTGCCTCTTATCACTACTACTCACGGACTAGTGTTCGGGAAGTGATGGTCTCCAAAACTTAAAAACAGGTGGTTCTAGAGTTAATTTTTCTGTTAAAATGTAAAGTGTCTTCCTGGCTTGGTTAGACATCCTATCCAAATTGTTAATTTTTCTTTTTCTAAAATTTTTATTGACAATATTTTAAAAGGCGGAGTTTTTCATGTAGTAATCTGGCTTTCCAAATTCTCTTAAAATACTCAAACATTTTAAGAGCCCACAATTCACACAGGACACCAAACAAAGTTCCCTCTGCTTGGGTTGCTCAAAATTTTCATTGAGAGCTAAATATGAGGAGGAAAGGAAAAGTGGACAGTTTTCCTGCAAGAGTTGCCCAGTGCCTTGGCGTGTTTTCTCAATCCCATTTGAGCAACATTACTTACAATATTAACCTGACCTTATCTTTCCATCATTCCTAGGCTTCCTATATCCTAGACATACAGTTTCTGTGTTTAGCAATATCTGCTAAAAAAAAGAAAAAGTTTAAAAGTTTCAAGAAGGAAGATAGAATTAAGAAAGTCAAGTTCAAGAAAAGATGGTTGGATCTGATCATTAATGACTATTCAGAGATCAATTTCACACAGGCTTGTGCAGAAGGCAGATTATATGGGCCTGAGTACTCAGATTAAGAAGAATTAAAGAGTGTGATCAGAGAGGAATCTATGGCAAGTTTGGTGTGTGTGTACTCAGTCACCCAGTCATGTCTGACTCTTTGCAACCCCGTGTACTGTAGCCCATCAGCCTTCTCTGTCTGCAGACTTTCCCAGAAAAGAATACTGGACTGGTTTGTAAGTTTGGTAGTGAAAGCTAAGAGGGAGCCAGTGGGTACCCAGAGGGGAGTATCAGGGTCCAGCCAAAGTTCTACCCCCCTTATAGACAAGGTGGTAGTTTCAAATGGCTATAAATACAGGCACTGGAAGCAAAGTTTCTAGGTTCTGATCTCAGCCCTGCCATTTAACAACTGTGCTATTTGGACAACTTAAATAATTTGTGTTCAGTTTGTTTCTTCATTTAATAATCACATCTTCTTTATTAGGTTACAAAAAAGATTAAGTGTGACTATATAGATAAAGCACATAGCTCAGATCTGACTCATAATAAACCTTCAATTAACATAAACTATACCCTTATAATTATTTTTTAAAAACATAGAAGCCAGTGAAGATGAGCAGAGATGGTTATCAGATAAATAATTGCTGAAAGAGTAATGATGGGATAGAGAACCCACTGTATAGCACAAGGAGCTCCACTCAATGCCCAGTAATGACCTACATGGAAATAGAATCTCATGCCATTTGCAGCAATATTAATGCAACTAGAGATTACTATACTAAGTGAAATAAGTCAGAAGGAGAAAGACAAATAGCATGTAATATCACTTACATGTGGATTCTAAAATATGGCACAAACGAACCTCTCTATGAAATAGAAACAGACTCATAGACTATTGGTTGAGATCAAACTTGTGCTTGCCAAGGGGCTAAGGGGAGGGAGAGAAATGGGCTGGTAGTTTGGGGTTGGTGGATATAAATAAACTATTACATTTAGAATGGATAAACAACAAGGTCTACTGTACAACAGAGGAAACTATATCCAGTCTCCTGGGATAAGCTGCAGTAGAAAAAATATTTTAAAATAAGAATGTATGTATATGTAAAACTGAATCACTTTGCTATACAGCAGAAACTGGCACAACATTGTAAATCAACTATAATTTTTTAAAAAAGGCCCATTCCAGAATAAAGCTATCACCAGAGATCTCTGCGAGGAATATGGGGAAAACTCAGCAAAGCCTAAAGATGAGAGTCTACTTTGTGTCCCACTGTTTCTGCAGGCCCAGCAAACATCCATCTACCAAATGTTTGCTTTTTCATCTTTTTAAAGAAAAATGTTTATTTTTGTTTTTTTGGCTGCACCGGGTCCTAGCTGTGCCATGTGGATCCAGTTCCCTGACCAGGGATCAAATCTGAGCCCACTGCTTTGGGAGCATGGAGTGTTAGCCACCTGCCCACCAGGGAAGTTCTCTGCTTTTTCATCTTTACATGAATTGCCTTCCTCCCCCTTTGAAGTCTCAAATCACTACCCCGACATCCTCTGCATATTTAGCTGAAGATGGTATTTAACGTGAAGATTTCAGCCATTTTGGCGAGCTACTCAGTTTTCCTGGGTCTCTCCCATGTAAACATGTTATCAAACTTTTGATTGATTTTCTCCTGCTTGTCTTCCTCATGCCCATCTAATTCGCAGATCAGCCTGAAGAAGAGGAAGTGTCCATGTCTGGCCTTAAAAATAGTTGAGAGCTGGGTGCTAGAAGCCCACCTCTGTCCCACTTTGTATCCCACCTTTTCAGGTTTCCCTGGTGGCTTAGAGGGTAAAGAATCCACCTGCCAATACAGGAGACCCAGATTCAATCCCTGGATTGGGAAGATCCCTTGGAGAGAGGAATGGCAAACCCATTCCAGTATCCTTGCCTGGAGAATTCCATAGACAGAGGAGCCTGGTGGGCTACAGTCCTCGGGTTTGCATTTTTAGTAACATGGAAGAACCTGAGCTGCCTGCACCATTATAGATTCTCTAAAAGCAAAGTTTCTCCCACCACGCCCATCCTCAGTATTGCTTCCCTCTAAGTGTAGAGGATCTTCCTTAACTGTTAGCCTAAAGAAAGATGATGTGGAACTCTGCCTTTATAAGTTGCTTATTAACACACTCCATGCTGAAGATCCACTCATTTAAAATGTTCCCTGGGACTTCCCTGGTGGTCCAGCGGTTAAGACTCTGCGCTCCCAATGCAGGGAGCACAGGTT